ACCCAGCCTCTAAGCCATACATCAATCAGTTGTGTTTTCCTAGTTCTTTCAGCTTTTCCTACCACTGAAGGAACTGAGGAAAAGATCACCTGTGCTCCTGATCCCACGAGCATTCGGCCTAGTTCTCTGAAATCCTTTTTCATCACCCTGGGACTTGCCTTGGCAACCTCATCAGTGCCCACCTGCATGACCACTAGTGGCTAGTAATCAGAGGGCTGCACCAGCCCTGGGAGTTTCTCAGTCACACCCCTAACCAGGGCCCCAGGGAGCCAGCAGACCTCCCGGAGGGCTGGGTCTGGCTGGCATACAGGGCCCTCAGTTCCCCTCAAAAGAGAATCTCCCACAACAATTACCTTCCTCTCGTTCTTAGCAGAGACAGTCCTAATGCATTGGGCAGGCTGCCTTGGCAACTCCCTGGATGGACCTCTGTCAGTAACTTCAGTTACCTCATTTTCCTGATCCAGGGCCATATACCTGTTCTGTAAGGGCACACGTGGAGGTGAGGGAAGCCAGGAGCAGGTTTGCCTGTTGCCTTGAGCAGGGACCCACTTCCAGTTCCCCTATTGTCTCAGGTACCCCACCTCTGCCAGGTGACAGGAAGGCAGAGGATCCTTTGCTTCTTGTGAAGCCTCCACCTTAAGGCTTTGTCTCAAGGGTGGCAGGGTATTACTCCACCAATCTATTTCTCTTTCACAATCCCAGATACTCCGTAATCTTTCCACCTCCTCTTTCAGCTCAGCCACTAGGCTGAGTAAGTCATTCATCTGGTCATTCGTACGCAGATGTTCTCTCTGCTCTCCTCCAATATGACTGACAGACTGAGACATTCTGTGCAGCCAGAGACCTGGACAGCTGCATTCTTGATAGTTGCCACTGTCTTCCTGGTAACGGTTTTTGCCCAAGCAGGTATCATGGCTAGGTCCTCTTCGGGGCAGGGGCAGATGATCATTAGCCGAGTTCTCACCCTGAATCAAGAGGGGCCCATGCCCTGCTCTGCGCTCCCTGCCTGCGCCAACTGCTGCACAAACTGCTGCACCAGGCCCTTCTACCTCCCCAAGCCCTGTTTGCTGTTCCTGGTCACCGTGCTCCCTGGGGGCTGCTCTTCTACCTGAGGGGAGGTCAGGCCACCGTCCCTTTGCCTCTGCCCACGGTGAGTCAGAGCTGCTGCTCCCCAGAAGCTCTCACTCCCTGCCCAGGGACAGGGGCTGGGAGTGACTCACTCCCACTCTCTCTGTTTCTTTCTCTCGCCTTCTCTTCCTCGGTTTTGTCGAGGGTTTCCTTGCAGTTTTGCTGCTGCAAAAGGGGTTCCCCAGCATGATCCCTTGCTCTGGTGTTCCTCGCCTCAGTGGCTTCACCAGAATGGCAGTCTCCCAGGCTTTTAAGCTGCTTTTTTTGAGCTTTTTCATACTGTATAGTTGTTTTAACCTGCACAGCCTAAAACTCACAGAATTGCTCTTGCGCTAGATGCTAGAGATCCCAGAACCAGCTAGAAGCTCTTGTTCTGGTGGCTTGAGTCTGAAGACGAGGTATGCTCAGAAAGAAATCTCACTGTATGGGATCAGCAAATCTGGGGCGTGTAACTAGGAAAAGCTTAACTCCTTCATTTGATTCTGCTTCTTACTGTCATTGTAACAAACAAATCAGATAAAGTTAACAACAAACAAAAAGCAGGCCTGGCCTTTAGCAGTGCTACCGCTCACCTGCCTAGTGACCAGCCAAGCTGTCAGTGCTCCAGATGTACCACATAGCTGGATATTAATATTTAGGATCACTTCATTTCTATTTCAATAACCAGGAGATCCTGCTTATAGTGATACAAACCAGAAATGTCAGTAGAGAAGGACTGGGTTACCAGAATTTAATTTCACTAGAATGGTTGGACTTGAACAGCACTCAGGGGCTGGGCAGAGAAACTATACTGGGTAGGGGAAAATAGAGCTTTCTTTGCATGTTATGCAGCAAATATAGGTGAGGTGTTTACTGCATAGCACTGACCCTTGTGGACCAGGGCACTTTAGTTCAGAAATAATTTTAAATTGATACCATGGCTTCTCTTTTAACTGGATTTTTGACCATTTAGTAGAGGTCTCATGCATTCCTCAGCTCACAAATGCACTGTGCTGGTAGATGGGGCATAAGCATGAGTCTGAGCCCCAAGTTGTGCTGATTATTGAACCTCACCAATCCAGCTTTACAAATGCATCTCAGTGTTCAGACTGGGTATCAACAAGAGCCAAATGTAGTAGAATCCTAGAATGGTTTGGGTTAGAAGGGACCTTCAAAGATCATCTTAGTCCAATGCCCCTGCCACAGACAGGGATACCTTTCACTACATCAGATTGCTCAAAGCTCCATCCAACCTGGCTTTGAACACTTACAAGGATGAGGCATCCACAACCTCCCTGGGTAACCTGTTTCAGTGTCTTATCACACTCATCACGAAAACAAAATAAATAAATAAATTAAAAAAAAATCTTCCTTATCCAATCTACTTGATAACTTGTGCTTTAGGTGGTAGACACTAGTCACATGTAGGAGGCTGAGACTGTGGGGAGTGTGGTGACAGCCCCGGGGTACACAGCCACACAGGGCTGAGCAGCTGCTTTGCCTCCTTGTGCACTGCTTGTGCACTTCTGCCCCGTGCTGTCACCCATTTAGACTGGTCCCAGCTAAAGCTGAAGTTATTGTGCTTTCAGTGATCACAGCACACAGTAAAAACAGTGATAATTAACAGCAGGGGGGTAGCCAGACAATGTGCCAAAGAAAGGGGTAAATACATAATAGAAAATTTATTTTAGGAAGGCTCTTGAAAAGAAGAGCATTTTCTTTCCTTTGTATATACTGAATAGAAGAGGTTTTAAACAAAGCACAGATTTCACATGTCTGCTGAAAGAAGCCACCAAAGAACTGCCAGAGAACAGCAGTGAAACAAGATTGTAGCTTTTAAGACAATGTCAACTGACATGATTGCCTGCTTTGATCATCTGTTCTCATGCCAGAAGTGCTTGTGTCACACTCATAGAGGTGCATGTGAATTCAGTGCTCCTGTTCTGACTTTTCTCCCAGAACAGCTGGCTTAATTTTCTTATGGAACACAGAGAAATGAAGCTAGAAACCAATTCAACCAGTTTTAAGGCATAACTTGCCATTGCTTTGCATTTTGTAAATAGAGTCCACATGGAATGATTTTGCAGTAAATAAAGATGCTCTTTATTGGGTGTTAGCTTAGGTATCTGACATTTGAGTATCCTGAAGGCAGGCAGAGATTGGCCCAGAGAAGTCTTGGACTTGCAGGAAAACCTGCCCCTGGGTTACACCTGTGCACAATGGCACCTCACTGATGGGATGATCAAGAATCTTTCCTGCAAGTAGCCAAAAGTGGTGGCAACTTATCTCACCTCTCAGATAGGCTAAGTAGGGAATCACACCAGAACAAGTTCACATACAGGCTTCAAAGCCTACATGAAAGCTTCAGATTACATTTCACAGAATCACAGAATTGTCATGGTTGGAAAGGGGCTCCAAGATCATTGTATCCAGTTCTCAACCCCCCTTGCACGCCCTGTCAAAAAAAACAAACCCAATCCAGACAAAAAACCCATTAGAGCATGCCCTGAAGTGCCTCATCTATACAGCTTTCAAATACCTTCAGGGATGGTGACTCCACCACTCCCCTGGGCAGCCTATTCCATAACTTCTTCATGTAGTTTTCATGCAAACCATGTGAGAATCTTTACACACAGGACAACATTAGGAGAACTGGTGTAAAACATACCTCACACAATGGGTTAATGTCAAAACCTCGTCTCATGTAGGGCTCACCATCATAGCCAAAGCCCTAGAGACCACAAACACCTAAACATGGGAGATCATGCTCTTCTCCACTTAAAACGAATGAGATTGATGAAGAAAGACTTAATTACAGCCTACAGTTCCACAAAGGAGCAGAGGACATTTTCAAGCAAAAAGGATATTTTTGCAGAGATACCACCAGGAAGAGGAGGCATTTGCTTGGAAATTATGGAGAAAACTACTTCTAGCCTGTTTTGCAAAAACAAGAATATCCACTTCTCAGCTGAACTGTCATCACTAGCTCCTTCCAAGTCTTACTGCCAAGTCCTTTCCTTTACTTTTCACAAAATACCAAGAATTAATGAGACAGAAGTTTAAATAAGGGAGAAGATAAAAGCTTAACGCACCCTTTATGTTTTATAGATTTACAGTTATACGTGCAATTTTCAGTATCAATATGAGGACAGAGATTACTTAAACCTCTCAGCTATCAAAGGCTCTTGTAAATTTTAAAGACTTCAGAGGTACAGATAAAGCTACTTGCTGCTAAAATCATGGGCTAGACCAGCTATAACCTAGGGCCACATTTAGGGTAAAGCGATTAAGACACAAAAGAAATTTTCCTTCATAGTGACACTGAAAACAAAGCACAAGTATAATAGGAACACACATCACGCCGTCTGTTGCTCTGCATGCCATATTTTTGAATGAAATAAATTATTAAAAAATTAATGTACCTTCATTACTTATTCTTCAGCTGCTCTGCACCCATTCTTGTAATTAAAAATATTGGCTAGACTAAATACAGTGATTAAAAGAGTGCACCAGATGTGCATCTAAAGAATACCTAATGTTTTGCAGTGATTTTTTAATATTCAGTATTGACACTTAAGAGATACTGTGTCACTATTGAGTAAGTTTATTAAAGTGTCTTTTCTACCACGTCTTTTTAGCTTGAATTGCAAGCAACATCATCCTATTTTGAGATTCTGTATCTCTGATCAGAATAGATTTTTCATACACATTTTTCAGTGCTTGAGTGAAGTGTTTTCTAACACCCTTAAATGACAGTGAAACTTGGTTTAGCTTGATGAAAAAAAAGTTTGTAAGGCAAACACAAGTGAGCCTGTGCTGAACAGGTAAACTCCTAACTCAAGTCATACACAAGGTATAAAACAGGCCTCTGAAAAAAAAAACCATGCACTTACCTGGTATGTAAACAACACTTCACTTGGTGATTTACCTAATTTTCCATTGATGTTAACTTCAATTTGACCTTGTTTTGGTTCATTCATTGGTCCAACTTGACATACAATCCTAGCAAGAAAGAATGTAAGTTTATCTGTTAGAAGTAACAGCTGCAATATCAATGCAATGTATGTGAGCTACCACACACGCTGTCAGCAAAAGCTTTATTGTACACAGGGTACTTGGACTCTGCCTCAGATTCCTAGCAAAAATACCCAAGAATAGCTTCATCTTCTATTTAAAGGTAGGTAAAACTGAAACCCGAGCACTGTACACAGCAACAACTTAGTAGTCAGTTAATACAGGTGCCTTCTATGGAAGACTTTAATTCAGCCCAGTTGGAGATGAAGTCAGAGATGAACATCTTGAACCCTGCACAAAATATTCATTGGACCTGGTGAAGCTAAAAGAACAAAGGACACCTCCTCCCCACACGTCTTGATGTAAGAATCAGACCATCAGCTATCTTATTACTGTGTGGTTTAGCTGCTGATACTTTTGTTGTGCATCCTGCTGTCTTTCAGCTTTAAACTACAGTATTTTCTCACCTATGATGAAAATCCCTTTAGAATTACTGTTCTCTGAAAATCAATCCTCAGATAACCCCTACAAAATCAGAGGTCAAGGAACACTGGCTGAGAAAACACTGCTTTAACGAACAATGCTGCTGATTGATGGCACGGATGTTTAAATGTTTCATTTCCAAGAGGTGATCCACAGAATATAAGCATGAAAATGCAATAAGGATTTGACACACTTGAAAACCAGGACAAAATACTTAATGGAGGGCTGGTAATACAGTTAGATAAGGAGATATACAATATTTGCAGCCTGCACAGGCAGCTTCATATAGGACACACTCTAAGGGTCACTGCTAATTTCCGTTGCACTTTTCCTCCAGGATTATTGCTATTCTTTCTTAAGCAATGCTTAAAAAACCCCCCACAAAAACTTAAGCAGAAAAAACTCCACCCAACAACCCGAAATTACTGGGTATAATGAACTTAAATCGGGAGTTATAATAAAAGGATTGTCAAGTCCCTCTGCAGAGCACTCCAGACTTTTCTGCCCGGGTACTGGCAAACGGACAAAATTCTCTAAATTCTTGCATGTTCTGGCATGTGTACGGCTGCTTGAGTCTGTTCCTCATCATCTCACTACTGTATTCTTGGAAGTTGTATCTTCTTGTCAGGCAAAAACAGGAAATGGTGCCTTTGGAGGAATTTCTACCATATGTCAAGCTACGGAAAGCAGTCAGGGGCCAGGGCTGGGGGTGTGTGTGTGGGAAACACTAGAGTGTGGTTAGTGGGGATTTTAAGTGAGAAAAGTTCTCTCCTCTCCCCAGTGTTGCCATTGCCTCCCTTCCCCCATGCTGCTAATGGAAAACTACAAAGAATGAGAACACGACTTCTCCAAGGCCAACAATTAAGTCACTGCAGAACCAGAAAGCAGCCTTAAGTGCCCATGGGAGCAACTGTCTCTTAAAAATGACTAGCTTTTTGCTGCAGAAGGATAGGGCAGCAAGACTAGGCATTATTAATTTATTTTTTTTTAAAAATAAATTAAGTAAAAGAAGGCAATAATAAAACAAAAGAATGAAGATAAAGACAGAAAATTACTGATACCTATTTGGAGATTTTTAATAACTTATTTTTCAAGGCTTCACTAATGAAGAACATTTTCCAAAAGCCCCTAATTTGTTGATAAATGACATTATGCAAGTTGCATTTGTTCTCACCCATTACCACACAGGCAGAGCTTAGGAAACTAGTAATGTTGCTATGATACAAGGAACCAGTTATCTGAGTTCTGGCTCCTTTCCATATATTTGAAAATACCAAAAAGCTTTAGAAAAAGTCAAGCGGCTGAGGAAATTCTTGTAAGGCTATGCTGTGATTCCATGCAGTTTTTGCAAACACGGAAAATAGAGAATGGGAAAAAATGAGTGTAAAAGTGTTGGAAATTTCATGGATGGTGATGCACGTATAAACACATGCATGATGGTGATGGATTCAGGGATCAGTAAGAGATGCATAGCTATATATACATTCTGAAGTCCTAGGGGCCTGGGAAGCTTCTACATAGCTGATCCATAAACTGACTGAAGTAAAACATTTTTCAAATGCTAAAAAAACCCACTTAGGTATCTTCAAAATCCCTTTCAAAACACACCACAGAAATAGCAAAAAGTTACTGTATTACACTTTAAACTAACTTTGCAATTGCAGCTTTGAATATCAAAAGTGAATGAATGAAAAATCACACTGCTTAAAATACAACCAAACTCTTAATATTACTACTGAACATTCATGCTGTGTTTTTTTTATTACCCAATACACCAAGAAAGTATTTCCCTCTTTAGATGCTTGATACAATTTGTAGTAGCATCCAGGCACCTCAAAGAATTCGGGCACCTTGTTTTCCTCTTTGGCACTGCTTAAGAGTGTGATGAGTCATCCACGAAACATTTGCCAACCTGCTTAGGCAATTTAACAACCATGGACTTGTTGGCTCTGAAGGAAACTTAGTCCTCTACAGCTAAACCAAAACTCTGGGCTCCCTCCCTGCCCCCAGGAAAGAAAATTTGTGGCTGGACTAAAACAAAAAATTCAAGCTTCCTCTTGCTTTGCCTACTTTCCCATAAATCTTGTATGCAAGGCTGCACTGTGGTTCAGATTTAGCAAACATTTTAATGACTAGATGCACACCTATGATGCCTTTAATTAAAAAAAAAAAAAAAGTCTTGAGACATCTGCAGTAATAGCTGATAAAAACCTTTCAAACAAATAAGTACAAACAATTGAATTAATCAGAAGCAGGAGGGTAGTACACTATTGTGAATTTGTTGCTGTATTAGAATCTAGAACAATTTTAAGTACTCAGCTACATTACTATGAAATATTGCAGATATCTCACACTAGTTCTTTCTTCTATAACCTTTTATAACCACATGAAGATCATCTCCTGAAAATGCACAAATGTTCCTTTTTTTCTTCTAAAATCTTGAGAGAAATATCCAGCAATTACCTTGTGGAAACAGAGTAGAATTCCTCTTTGAAAAGACACTCCTGGTCTGCCACCATTATATTTTTTACATCTTCTGATTTTATTCCCAAATTAGATCCCATTATGGTCAAAAGAATTCCACCACTTAGTGGTCCAGTTTTTGGCTCAATCTGTGTTTGCATGAGGGAAAGTAAAGAAAAAAAAAAAAAAAAAAAAAAAAAAAAAAAAAAAAAGGCAAAATTAAACACTGCAGTGACAATGTTGCTCTTCCACGTTATTTAAAGCTACTTTGACTTACCCATACTTGAAATGAAAAAGATGTTGCTTGTAGGACCCACCACAAAAACATGCTATGTAACTTTTAAATATTGAAGAGTTACTTGTTAGCTCAGAACCAGTATTCATCAGCTGCTGATACTGTGTCTCCTTTGGCAGACTGTTATGTACAAAACCCTTCCTATTATGTTCCAAGTTTGCTTCTTCCTCTCAAGCACTGTGATTTTGAAAAGCAAATGGATTGGGTTCCTCTCACAATCACTCCACAGGCTTTTCTAGTGGGTGTTGTTGGTTTTTTTTGCCATGATTTTCTCCCCTTTAGGTTCACATCAAAAGATCGCACCTTGCTAAGACACAGTGCTGCGCCTCTCACAGCGTCTTCAAAAGTTCCTCTAAGCCTTGGTCTTCCTTACTGCATCAAATGGTAGGATGCTGCAGTGCATGGGCTGATGCTAATGAAATACTTGGCAATTAAACACTGAGACAATCGTGCAGTGGATGTGGACACTTCTCAGGTTGAAATCCAGCCTGAACAGATACTTGAATTCTGAATCATTGTAAGGAGATTAACTTGCTTTGCTGTGTGATATATGTAACACCTCCAACAAGACCTTTTCAGATGTTCAGCTTCAGAGAGCTGCATGTTTATCATGAAGAGGGAGGCTGCACAGTCCCAAGTGCAGTAATTAGAAGCCAAACAAATACAGTTTCTGTAAGTCTGGACTTTAATGTCTGCTGAGTTTCTTAGAACTAAGCAAATCTGAGCATAGACATAAAGCTGCTGCTGCTGGTTGCCAGCCTAGCTACAGAATCACTTGCTCTGTATTCCTACTGGTTCAGCTTCTTAGAACTTTTGCCTGCTGGCCATCCATTCGAGCTCAACCCAAAAATAAACTAGTCAAAAAATGAATCAACGGTTTGTGTAGACCTTTTAAAAATATTTTGTTCAAATCTGAAACTAAAAGAAGCTTTGAAAAAAAACTCGTATTTTCGTATTAGTATTCAGTCCATTATCATATAAAAAGTGTATCCCAGCTGAAAACACTTTTCTTTTTCTTAATTTTCCTTCCCACTCAAATCACCTTTATCTGGGCACAGCTATCATACAAGTATTCTTCTCTACACTTTCTGTTGAAATTTTATGGTATTTGCCTTTCTTGGCAGATTTCAGCTGTTTACCTGCTATTTCTTCCTGGATACACAACCACGGCCAACCTCACTGAGGTTACTGCTGGGCTGCCTGTACCCACACTGCACCTCCAACTGTTCAGTCCCAGATAAGTTTGAGCCACAGGTTTCAGAACTAAACAGTTTTATCTTACTTGAGTGAGATACCCATTAAGTCTCTCAACCTCTGTCACATGGTTACTGCATTTTGTGATAGTTTGGCATTTGTTCTCATCAAAGGCTGTGTCTGAGTTTTAAACTACAGATGCCACTGTTGCAGCACTAGGTGGCCAATGTTCTTCCTTTGCCATGGGTAAACTTTTCCCACTGCAGAACTACTTCCGAGTATGACAGGGGTGCACATTTGGCCTTCTGACTTCTTACATTCAACTAACACAGCCTTGGGTTTCTTCCAGTATGGACTGGAAAATATCACTGACACCTGGAAAACAAACGGTGACACAGAAGCAATCTGCTCTCTTATTAAATACTATTTAAAATCCTAGTTTGAAGTCTGTTTAATGAGCCTGCTAAGTGCATGCAGTTCTAGACACTGTGAACCTCTCTTATAGACTTATTTCAGGTAGCAAGGGCTCCAGGAAAGAAAAAATACATGCTAATTCCCAAGAATGAAGTGCCACATTTAAGCTTACACTGCTAGCCTGGCTTCTAGCACAGTGAGGATAAGGCTTGAAAAACAAGAAGACTCAAAGACTCCATTCAGTCTCTTATTTTGAGTCTTTACAAATCTCTCTCACACATCTCTACTGGCATTATTTCCCTGCAGCTATTTCAGAGGTTCACTTAACACCCTAGGAAAAAAAAACTGCCTTTCAGTATGAGCTTGTTTGGATGCTTTCTCCTGAAAAATAATACACTGGTAAGGAGAGAAAAAAGGAATCTTACGCGAGTGATTTCTGGATGAGGACACGTGTTGGTGGGAGGAGCGCGACAGAGTTTTTCATAAACGCACTTGCTGGGCTTGCCCTCTTCTTCACACCAGACACACTTATAGTCCTGATGGGCTGCGAGGCATAAGCTGCAGTCGCTTCGTCCATAAGAGCAGTTGTACAGAGTCACTGAAATATGAATGGTAAATGCACTTAGATATTTCCCTCTGTTTCAGGGTATTCAGTGTGTTATAGGAAGGAGAATTAATCCCATGTACAAAGCCTGCCAGTTGTCCAGTTAAGTTGTGTAAAGAATATGCACAGTCTGTACTAGAACCCCTGAACAGCACTGGAAAAAAACTGTCTTTTTCGTTGTATAGAAAAACCTCAGATCTATCCATGCACAGAGTATGGATAAACTATCAAGTGGAGGCCAGTTTTTGTCACTCAGGCACTGTCAAAACATTAAAGTACAGAGACCTTTCTCTGACTATGCTCGGTGAACCTGTCTGTACAACTGTTCAAAGCCTAGTCCGAACAAACAGGTCCCTCCTGGCAAAACAGGAGTCAGACATGGAAGGGTATAAACTCTGCACGCGTGTTGGTAGGGACAGGCATCAGCTGGCATGGGATCTCTGCCAGTTGCGTATTTAAAAGAAGAGAGCTGCCTTTGTTGGCTGTTTCTAGGACATCTGGGTCTTTCCAAAATCATTGTTAAAGCCTGAAACAAATAGAAAGTTAACACTTAATGAAATGTTATCCTTTCAAGTTAATACCTCTTAATTTCTCCATTCTTCTCTATTTTCTTGCTTTTGTTTTCCCTTTTGATTCCAGCTGCTGTCCTGATGCAAGACTTATTCCTTCTGTAGTGGGGTTTATATCTAGTTTTTCTAAGCCAAGAAATCAGGTCTGACAGTCATGCCTTTCTTACTGATGAACCACGCATCAATTGTCCCAGACACTAAGCTTCTTTTGGCCCCCATGATGCTCAGTCACTGAACAAAACTAATTTTCCCAAATAAATACAAAGCCTTGAGAAATAACTGGTGGTTCAGCACCATATGGAAAGCCTGGACTTGCAGCAAAACATTTTGAGATGCATTTGAGCGAGCTAGCCCTCAAAAGATGCTACACGTTTCTCTAGGGGAAGTGTGAAAGTTGCACAGATTACTCAGTGTGTGAGCACTACACTTTCCTGGGAAGGTGAGCTGATTACTGTAGAGATGGAAACCTTTTGCTCCCTCCTTTTCTGCTCCTTCACTTAATTCCTGGTTTGCTCTACTTTTTGGCTGCTCTTTTTCTCTGGCTACACATCTTCACCCTCTGCCACACAGGCTCTGGGACTTGTTGAGTCTTCTTGTAAATCAACTTAACTTACAAGAACAGCAGAAAGCTATCCAGGTTTCCTCCTGTGCTCTTTCAATAGTTAAATGTGCTCACAGATGGGAATGGGGAGCATAAAACAGAGACTCAATATCTCCCTGATCTAGTAGTGATGAGCTGTTTTATGTGCTCATTAAGTCCCAGGAAATGGTACCCTTTGTGACACTGGGTTTTTTTTCAATGGATTTTCTGCCTTAAAGATGCAGGAAGCAAACTGAAGTAAACAGCAGTGATCAGGTGTGGGCAAGATGGGCTCAGATAAATCCTTTGAGATTTGCATATAGTAAAGGCCATAAAAAATGTCTATTTAAAGAAAGCTTTTCTTCTCAGAAGAGCAGGACTCTAGGAAGGACACCAGCAAAGCCACCCTTCAGACTCTAATATTTAAATGTGCTTGATATCTTCCTAGAAAATCACAGCAGCAGTAGCATTTTACATCTAATTCCAAGAAGCTGCCATGCCAGATTTCTACTGAAATGAAAAAGTAAAATCAGAATGCTGGTTTTCCATTATTTTACAACACTGTCCTCATTCTCCTGCTAGCCATGAACAGTATTACAGATGCCCAAAACTTGGCTACAGGCTCTCTTGCCACTTGCATGAGAGCACATAACCTAAAGACATTTTTTTTCTAAATGTTGCATATTTTAAAACCTCAGTGTTCAGTTTCACAGCTAGTTTTTAATAGAAAGCATGCTTTTATTCTTTCCCTTACACTGAAGATTTAATGCAATGATGAAGCCTGATTTTAACCTTTGCTGCATCTAATCAGCGTATCCTCTTGATTTCAAGCAGCTTTACCAGCACAAACTCAGTTTAGACACCATTGGAGGTATATGCAAAGCTAAGGGACTTTAGTATTTGTAACAGTGAATCAACGAGAAAGAGCATCCATTTGATTCCACTCCTATCTTGAATTCTCAGTGAATCAATGAGCACAAATCAGGAGAAGCATCATTTTCCTCATATACTCAGCAACAAGTCACTGAGCAACAAACCTAAATGAAGCAATATTTTCAACAATAGTTTGTGTGCTAAGTGTTCACTTGGTACGTTGGAGATGAATGCAGCCGTGGGGAAAAGCACTAGACTGACAGCCCTGGTAAAGTACTATTTGCTTTTATAAGCAGAAGTGATGGTGTGGGCAGTGGCAAGGAAAAATTTTTCCTTGCATATATGCTGTGAATTGCTTCTGCAGGAACCAGATTGCTTTCTTAATCCAGCACTCTGAAAGGCTGCAACCACACAGGGACTTGAGCAGGTAATATTGTTAAACAAATCTTCCCTTTGCCTTCCTAAGCTCTGTGTTACACCCACACCACTACATGGCCATCTGGTGTGGCACAGGAATATGCTTACTGAGTTATTTTGTTATCCTTCATCAACTGGATGGAGATTTTCATCCCATCCATCAGTAAAGAATGTCAGCACTGCAATGTCCCTCACGTTCAGTTGCATAAATGCAATGGAGAAAACTATGGCCTTAAAGCATTAAACACTCCCTCTGTTCACTGATCAGCTCATTAAATGTAGCAGCAGCAAGCTACTCATTAGATTCAAACTCTTATCCATCACCTTGAGATCCCAGCTGTGAAATCATTGATAAAAAGGACAAAGGATAAAAGGGATATATTTGATTTCATACTATTCAGAACCCCTGATGGCTCAAGAGGTAAAAACGCTATCGTAACTTAGCATTCACTAAGTGTTATACAAAGAAAGGGTTCTTTCACTGGCAGGTTCAAAGATGCTTCTCAGCAGCCAACCATATACCCAAAGCCAATTCTTTTCAAGATGCATAAAAAACATTATGCTCCAGATTTCATATGGCAAGGAAATTTAAAACAGGAGAGAATCTGGATGTAAAAAAATCCCTTTTATAATAAAACCAGACATTTGTTAATAATTCCCCTCTTGCAAGGATTCTGTATTTCAATCTGAATGATAAGTTTTCTTTAATAATTTAGCTACTCCTTTTTTTTTTTTTTTTTTTTTTTTTTTTTTTTTTTTTTTTTTTTTTTTTTTTTTTTTTTTTTTTTTTTTTTTTTTTTTTTTTTTTTTTTTTCCCCAGACTGGTAAAAAAAGATGTTGGAAATATTTGGTCAGAATTCTGCAGTTTTAAACACCATAGCCTTTGGAATGGAAATTAAAAAAGTGCAAGATTGTAATATGACCTCCCTGTAACATTAATTCCAGGTCCTCTTTTAAGTTCTTTCAATAGCGCACACAGAGCCACAGGGAAAATCTTCTAAAAACATACTTCAGTGATGCCAATAAAAAAGGGAATAAATTTAAATATTATACAGATGGAAAAATACGGTCTGAAGATTTGATCTGCAGGGGAAATTACTCGGGGCCAGTATTAGTTTTCCTCATGTTGACTCATCACACAAGTAACAAGTGTGTTGCATCACAATTTGTGTAATATTATGCCTTAAACTTCACTCTCACAGACATAACTCCTTCATCATTTTATGTTGAAAGAAATACAGACATTTATATTAATAAAGGAATTTATATTGGAGACCAAGTCTTTGTGCCATAAAACACTTAATATACTTTTTTGTTGCCAAATAAATAAATGAATAAAGTAATGAGCTGAAAGCACACTGAATATTTCTGTGTATTCCTGATCAACAGCAGATGTAAAGTCTGTAGAACCTGTCTGAGCTGAGACACGGTTCAAAGTTGAGATTTCAGGTGAAGTCCATGCAAGGGGCAATAAGAAAGATCCCCTTTCCCCTCTCTGCTGTTGGAGGGGGAAAGTTTGTTGGGGAATGGAAAAGGCCACTGGAAAAAAAAATAAAATCAAACTACTTAACTATGTTTTAACTGTGAAGCCTTGCTATCAGGATTGCCCTTCAGAGCAAAAGCAAACTTGAAAATAATGGTAGCATATTTAAAACATCCTCTAATATATACAATACTGATGTTTAATTAATAAGTTTAGTATTAATAACTTTGGATCTGTCAGATTTAATTGTTTCACCCAACCTACACAAAGGTAACATTCTTATTCACGTGACTCCAAATGATAAAGGAATAGATTTCTGTTTACTGTAATTAACCTCCCTTTAATCCCATATTTCATACTTACCCATTAGTTTGCTGTCAATCTTGACCTTATCTGTTCTCACAGATAAGTTAAGTTGTAAGGTCTCATTTGCACTATAGGAGAACTAGAAAAGATGACACAATAGAGATATTTATACCTTTGTTTGACAAGGTTAATTTCACATGTTTTCTGTGATTCTCAGTAATCAGAGCTGTGAAGGTTTTAGAAACTATCCCAGATCTTATGGTCTTTTTTTCTATCTTGGCCAAATACATTTATAGAATAATGTTTTAATGAACCTAATCCTTCACAGTCAGAATTTAAGTACCAAGGGACAGAAATATCTGAATACTCGCTTTTCATTAATTTAATTTACATTTAGAGTATCCAAGTAGCAAAGGTACTGTTCAGATTCAGTAAGTAGAGCTGCTGACCCTGCTGAGTTCTCCCTTCCCACACCATCTGGCCCCATTACTTCTGTGGATACAGCAGACTTGCACCACATGGAGGGGAAATCTCTTGTATCTTTTGCAGTGCAATCCCCTCATTATAGCCCACGCACAAGGCTCTAAGACATGAGATTCTGCTCAGGTTGAAAGACAGCAGCAATAACAACCAGTGGGAAAGAAAAAGAGCAAATTAAAATACAGTGGCTTTATAAGGTAAATGCTTTGTGCCAGGCTCAAATGCTGCATAAATGCCAATTAGTTCGCTATACTCAGTAAATGCTTATAAGACATAAAAGGTTAAAGTCAGCATAATATTTGTGAGTCCAACTTCGAGCTTGCTAAATAGATGATTTTTATTTTTTTTTCCATATTATTTTCTTTCTCTGTAAAACTAACCAAAGTGAAAGAAACATAGCTAGTAAGTAGCCAAACAACAACCTATGGTTGCCATTCCCATTTTACAGACGTAAAAAGGGAAAGATAATGAAATGGACTGTGGACAGACAGAGCTCTGAAGTTCTCATCTTTTATCCTCAATGATTTTACCAGATTACATAAAAAAGTGAAGAATAAAAGAGTAATGGTCCCAAATTCCTCTAGGGACAGTTCAATGAATGCATGGATTGCATAGGTAGAGAAATCAAGGAGAATGATTGAGGGCTTTGAGGGGAGACCCCAGGAGCTCTGAGCCAAAGCTGCTGCCTTAAATTGCTAAAGCCAAAGGAGAATCTCCATCAGAGATTACTTTCTTCTCTGAGGGAAACCAAAATTACCTATATATTTCTGGATGCAAGTGGACACTGGAACAGGTCTGTAAGAACTGAAAATGTTTGGTAGAAGAATCATATTATTGCATTTACCTCTTTACTCAGGAATGAAAATTTTCCTTCATCTGATTCATCAACAGGAGCTTCAAATTCGAATTGGCTGTTTGCAACCACAAATTTTTTATCCTGTGGAGAAAAAAAGCAGTTTAGAATTTGTATAGCATCACAAAGTGTAATAAAATATCACGAGGCAATATCCTGTTCAGCTCTGGAAGTAGTAATACCAAATGGAGAAGGCAAACTGGCTAAAATCCTGAAAACAAAGGCAGTGAAACACTGAGACAGAACAATCTGCTACTTTGCTGCACCCTTCCAGTGGTCATTAAAGGTGGAAGCACCAAGCAATCCAAGTAAAGGAAGAGTACATCTAGCACTCTGTTTCACGGAGCAATAAGAAAAAGCCAAGAGATGTGAATAGTGGATGTCTTCACACATCAGATGTGTTATTAACAGAGCTGTGTGAGTTCTGCCCTTTAAGGTTTTCCCTGCAGGGATGCTGGGCAGAGTAGGAATGCAATTACATGTGGAACTGCAATGAACATCTCTCAGACCTTGCTGGCTTTGTTTCTCCTGCCTCACCATGACTCCAGTTATGTTTTCACAGGACAGTCTTTGAAGACAAAGGTGCCTTGCTTTCCCTCCTCTACTATTCAATATAACATGCATTTTCCAAAAGTGTTCACATTCTGTTGCTGCTGCATAAGGCTTTCCTACATTCTTAACAGAAGGTGCTGTGAGAGAAGAGGAGCTTCAGTGTGCATGACAGCTGCCACCTGCAGCAAGCTGAAAACAGCAGTCACTACACTAGGTTCTCCACAAGAGCTCACATTCAGCAGCTTGAGTGCAAGACGAGAGACACAGCAAACAAGTGGATTACACAGCAGACACACATGACAAAGGCAAATCCAAATGGGAAATCAGTTTTAACTAAAATCTTTGGAGGGTTAATAAGGTTCTCTTGATGCTGGCACTTCTGCCTCTTCTATTGTGCCAGTCTTTCAAAGACTCAGCTGGAGAATGCCTCTCAGAAGTTGCATGCAATATGACTGATAAGTACTAAACTTTCCGCTCAACCACTTGTCGTGGCTATTCACAAGAGAATGGTAACAGCTTGGATTTACTTCTCTTTCCTACCAAAATTATTTCAGGTGAAGGACAGGCAGAAAAACAGCCAACAGCTTCTCTCCTTTTAGTCTATTTCCCTCCAGTGGAAGCCTTCACAAGGAGATTTATTCATTGTACTGTAATTGTGCACAAAGTAAGAGGCACATACAAAACATGTGAGCTTATTCTTCCACTCTCAGTTCTGCAATAGTAGTTTTCGAAGCCATCCACCTCTCCTACTCATGGAGTAGGCCCAAATCTTCACTACTAATCTCCACCTGGAAATGGGGATGCTTATATGCACAATATTGGCTAGTGTACTTAGTCATCCACAATAAGGCAAGTTGTGCATTGCCCTTTTAAGCAAAGCACAGATTAAACCAAGATAATAGAGCTAGTAGCTCAATGTGTCAACTGAATACTAATTTTTTTCTTTTTCTAAACCAGAATTTGGTCAAGAAAAATTGGAGGAAAATGGATATATTCCAGTGTCCTAATAAATTAATACCTTAAATGTCCTCATATCTGAATGACTGCTACCTCCAAACACTGTAGTGCCCAGCATATCCAGTGGCAAAATCATTCCACATAAGAAGCCACACGCTATTTTGCATTTGGGCTGTACAAAATACCCATCCATAGCTTCTCCCAAGCTACCCTGTCTTCCATGAGATGTTTACCAAAGGCTGAGTGTAAGCTATGCCCTTACTTGGATGAACTTTCAGTAACCAACTTTATTGCTTCAGATAGCATGACCCCACAGGCATGAGTGACTGTACAATTATAACTATTTCATGCATTGTTTCTCTTTTTCATATATACTTAGAGGTCTGTGTATCCAAGTGTAGTCACTGTGTGTGCCTATTTGAGTCCTGGCACTGAAGTAATTATTATGTTGGCTTAAAATTGCACCTTAGTACCAGGATTTATGGTCTGCTCCCATGACAGAGACAACATTACCATGTGGCTCTGAGCTAAGAAGAATTATTCTAACATCATTTGACACTCATTGCTCTCCAGCATCTTTCCATCCTAGGGCCTCTGCATTCATCTTACTTCTTACAGAGATGTGAATTCCACATAAGCCTTCCCAGTTCCAAGTTAAATAAATGCATACTAAGTCTGTTTGGCAGGCAAACTGTTAAACACAGCTACCCATGACAAAGCATCCAGTCCCCTAGAGTGTGTCTGCCTTTGTTAAATGGAATTGATACCAAACACAGGGCAAAAAAAGGGCAGAAGCTTTTTTGTTTCCTTTCCTCTTTGAGTAATTCACAACGATTAAAGTGCTTATTCACAGAATTATAAACTAGATTAAGGAGATTTTGGGTTCCTGCTGCTGTTTCCCCTTCTTGAAGGAAAAAGGTCCTCTAGGAGTCAAATTCAGCACATCTAGATTATGCATCTGCCCTGAATTTGTTCTTGAGAGAGGAGGGTAAGATCTTCCTCTTGTGCAGAAAACCAGCTCTTCACAATACTAAATAAAAATATGAATAAATTCTCAGGAATGTTTTTCCATTTTTAGCAAGGAGAGAGCTGTGGCTCTTAAGACAAGTGTTGTGTGCCACAGTTTGCACACAGCCAGACATCCTACCAGGGACCAGTCCTGGCATCTCAGAGAACAGATCCAATTCACCAAACTGCTTTTCTTTGTTTACATGTATTTTAAGGTCTTCAAGCAAGAAATGTTTATTTTTGAACACAGGTTCTTATAGCATAGTCTTGATACATGTCTAGTGTAGTGATACACAGCATGGTTGTCATATGATTGTAGGGCTTGCAGGTTGCTTTTTACAGAGTCACAGAATGTGACTTAGAGATTTTTACCCTTTACTATAGAATTTACTCTTTGAATATCCTTCTTACAGTGGTATACTCCAGACCTGTTTACCCTTGTCCACCCTTTGGGAGGTGTAGTGGAGGTGATAGAGGGTGTTCTAAGCTATACAGTACTTCAATTTGACAAAGGAAAAAAATAAAAACTACAAAATCCAATTAAAACCAGAACAACTCAAGAATCAAGAGCCTTCTTTCTCTTGGCTGATAGTTAAAAAAATCAGTGCAATATCCAGTGTATCTATCACCAGTTTGCATTTAGGCGAAGATAACACCGAAACAGTTTTCTGTTTCTATTAAGAACTAAGAATTGGTTTCTGAGCTTTTTTTTTTTTTTTTTTTAATGCATTTTCTTATGCATTGTCTAGGTTAAGAAACAATTAAAAGCAAAAAACCCCTCTGGCTTCTTAGAAGTTTTGTCATTTACTTTCTGGAAGCAAATACTGAAGCCTTTACTACAGCTGAGGAAATACCTGTTCTTCTGGTTTGATGGTCAAACCCGTGAAAAAAACCCAAGCAGAAGATTGTTTTTTCCAGACTAAGAAACATTTAATTTCTGAATGCATTTTTTTTTGTTTAAGAAGTGAAAACTGAATCAAGCACAGTGAGTGATCTCATTCCAGAACTAAAAAAATAAAGTATTTAATTAAAAAAAACAAAGATATGAAACATTCACAATGCCTAAAATGCCTCTCGTTTCATCAGATGAAAAAAAAATCTGTCAAGTATTTCAGTAGGTCCAACTTCCATTCTTAAAAAAAACAACAACCCATATCTTGTAGTTCAAATGTTTTGCTCAGCTCTGATTCCGCCTTGGTGGTTACTCTACCACAGTCACCAACATTATATCAAACTTGAATGTGTAGCTTTTTCCCTTCTTTAAGAACAGTTATGAGCAGGATTATCATGGATGACGAACTAATGTATTAGTTTAGGGGTGTGGCTGCAGTTTAAGTGGAATTCAACTGACAGCTAGATTTGAATTAATCTGCTTACCTGATAATAAGCTAGATGTCTTCCCTCAAAATATACCCTTGTTCGGTACTCCATAGGTATGATTGGAGGGTTAGGGTTTAGAAACTGCGGGCATTCTTCTTCCTGGGGAGAGAAACATTTTATATGTTATTCCAAATAAAAATAAAAAGTCTTATCACAACAAGCTCTGATGGCCTTTGGACAATGGAAGGATTGTTCTGAGGAGCTTCATGCTTAAAATACAGTGACAGATTTGATTACACCCTTTCAAATTAGACATGCTAAAAATGACTGCAGCATATGTCAAAGCTGTGGGTGATTATCTTTCCCAGTCTTGAAATCTTGTTCCTCCCATTGAAGCAAAATAGTAAAAGGAATAAAAATATCCTTTCAGGAGTTATTCTGTCTCACTGCCCCTCCTCAATCACACCCTTAAAATTCCCACCCCCGCACTGTCACTAAAAAATAAAAAGAAAAATCTTACACTTCTGGATTTAACTTTAGAATAATTTAAAAATCTCTAATTCAACCACCTGATATGAGAGAAAAAGCAAGGAAAACATTGTTCTAATAAAACTAATCTTATTTTTAAACATTACCATATTTTGTTTAATCACTTCCTGTACTGAAGAGGACTCTTCACAGATATGTCCTTTCCAGTCCCACTGGCAATTCCATCTATTGCTTGCACAGGAATAGCATCTACAAATATAACATGATAGTCATGACAAACTTTCAGGCATTTTTCCTGCTTGACAAAAAAAGTAAATGAAATTCCACCTTTATTCATAGAGGGTAGACCAATCTGTTACAGTGTCCTAACTATATTAAGCTTAAAACTTCATTGTAAGAACAGTTCAAGGACCCCCAAAGCTATTTTCTCCCTTGAATATTTGAGCAAAAATCACAAACCTACAGCATCTTGCAAAAACTTTGAGATCATGTCTGCGAGGACTGGAAATTATCTTGATCAACCTTCATACGTAAGGATGAACAAAGTGGGCTTTGGGTTGGCTGTGCCTGCCCTGGAACAGCAACATCTTGGGCAGAATCAGCTTTGGTTGTCACGTTTGAATTGCTACCCATAGCAACAATCTAACATTTGAGGGAATAAGTAGGTAAGCAGGTGTCCACGGAGCTCACCTGCAATGGCAATTTAATTATATGTGCCATGAATATTCCCTTTCCACATGGTTTATGTTACCGGCTCACCTAAAGCTCTTCAACCATTTTTGAACTCCATTAAAATGTGAGGAAAAGGCAAATTTTGAGAGTGCCAAAGGCTTAATTATGATAATTATGATTGAGTAACTTGGCTGTCAGTGACCTGAAACACCATGATGCCACAGGGCCTAGACACCTGAGTTAAGAAGCTGAAATACTTACGGCTGGTTTTCTAAAAGATTCATTGCTTCTTCACAGTCATAAAAGGGGTAAGTATGTGATGCAAAAAATACCTTGTTCTTTTCAAAGGTTAACTGAAGTGGAACCGAAACATGATCTATCACAAAAGAAAAAAAAATAAAATTTCTAAGTAGCTGTAAATTCTTTAGGTCTTGAGCTGAATGATATAATGATAATATTTTTCTTATTTTACAGGACATAAGCAAATATTTAACTATACTGTTGACACTCTGGATCTCATGACCTGTTATAATTTATAAGATTTGTTTTGTCTTTTTATGGTTTACAGATTTTTCAGCACATAGTTGTCAGAAGAAAAGCAGAGATGGGATAAAGAGAAGAAGCAAAAGTACAGAAGAGCTTTGTTTTATTGAAGTGTTTCTCAGTGGTGCTATCATCAGGCTAGAATTTTAAAGATTCTAGAAGAATATTGAACATAAAGGAAAACTGGCACAAGAACAGTCATTTTAAAGAAAACATTTCCTTAAATATGAATATGTCTGCATGTAAAATTACTTGTTTCATTTGTGGATGAAAACTGCTATGGTCATGTGAATTAAAGCAAGTGATCTTTGTGGTTAATGGCCAACAGTGTCTGCAATGCTGTTACCACAAGCACTTGTGATCTTCAGTTTGGCCCACATAACTTCTCCACAAATGTACTTCTTGCCTGCATCATTACTGAAATAAGACTGGAAAATTTATCTTCAGAAACTGGTGCTTTCCTCAGTGAAGCTGCTTGAAATAGCTTTTGCAGAAATCATTAAGCCCTTGTGACAAGGTATTTCACAAGCTGTTGGGCAATTTCAAACTCTGCTTTCCTTGAAAAGGTTCTTGGAAGACCATCAGCTGCTTGGCTAGAAGTCACCTTTGTCTGCTCTGGGTGCCTTTGAATATTTCAGACTGGTAGGAATGCCAGGGGATTTCCTAACAATGGGACTGTGAAAAAGCATCCTTTCTCTCTAGAAATGTCCTGTTCCCTTTGGAACCAACAGCAACTAAAGTAAGTTAGACTTTTCCAAACTCAATAGATGTTCTTAATAGTAAGTGACTTTTTGTCACACGCTGCTAGAAACCACTGCCTGCGTTTATAACTGTCTGCCTTCCGTTGAAGTGTCTGCCAAGCTTCTGAGCATCACTCTATTACTTTAGAACATCCTTTCAGATGGACACTGCTGCAACCAACTCAGTGTTGCATTATTTCTCGGTGAATGGTTACTCTAATGCCATCCCTGGCAGGCTACTAGCCTCACATCCTATGCTGGAAGACATCAAGATGTCATGTCTATTGACTCAGTCGCTTTATGTTCTGCTTTACAAAATATTTAAGGAATGTGAGTTGGCCCTAAATAACAGTTTTGATTTAACAATTAGCATAATCTGATCCCGTGGCACACCCTGGGTAGGTTAAAACTTACAAGTGAGACTTTAATGTCATTACTCTTCCTGCAACTAAAACTGGATTTTGACCTATTTCAGCCTTAAGAGAACTGAAACTTATCTTAAAAAGTGCTTCCAAGTACTGCTCTGGCAGTTCATGGCTGTTGTGATACATACAAAAAGGGTTATCCCCAGGGGTACCCCTGCAAGCTGTAATTTTTTATTTTATTTTATTTTTTAAACTCAATACATAATATGCAGTGCTGTGTAACCAGTTTTATTTAATGTGTTTATGCATCAAGATGTATGAACTTAGAGCATGAACAAGCACTATCTAGGAAATTGCACAAGAATTATGGTTGGCAACAGCTCTTAAGCATATAATCAGTGGTTCAGAACAATGATACCATTTTTAATTATATGATCACTTGTTCTTCTGCTGGACTTAATATTGCATAACCTGGAGGACACATAGTAGAAGAGATAGGAGGCTTTATGAGAGAAAGGACAGCCTTGTGACAAGGACCAGAAAATAAGCCACTGAACTACAGCTGTCTAGAGCAAAACTAAGACATCAGAAATTAAAAACTTCAAATCTGAAGTGCTATTCTGGCCCCATAACTCTGAGTGATTGAGAATTTAGAGTAGCTGGGTTTTATTTGTTTGGAACTTCTCTGGCTCGGTCCACTCCTCTGCTAAGCTCAGATTCCTGGTAGAAACACTGGCAATGCTACAGCTTGTGAATACAGCCATGGAAAAAGTTTGAGCAATTTTTATTATTTTTCTTTTAGAATGTTTGAACAGACCAAGTTCAGCAATAGACTGAGGAAAGGGACTGGAAGAGGAAAAAACCAAACACTTGTATGGAGATCATAAAAGTACATCTCATTAGAAGCAGCAGGCTATATTTTTTCCTCTTATCATACATGGAGGGTAGCAATATTGCTTTACCTTGACCTTTTGGTGTTGGAGGAATTATGTCAGGTGGATCACAGACAATAACTCCTTCTTTTAATTGAGCGTAATGGGTTGTTTCACCAAATGTGCACAAAACTTTGTCACTCTCAGTCAAAGTTGGTAATGGACTTACAGTCAGTTCCACCTGGAAACACAATTTAAAAGAGTAAAATAGTTGAAAGAAATTAATCACGACTCAGTAAGATTTATGGCCAGAGAACTTCAACAGTTCTTTTTCTGTTTGTTTTTGGTTTTTTGGCCAGTGGTGATATTTTGGCTAATATTGGCTAGTATCACAGAAGATGGTTCTCCTTTTAAATTTTTATTTCTTCCCATCTGCTAACCTTTCCTTCTTACTCAATTTTTCCAGGCTTGGTCTATGTTGAATTAGCCTGGTACAAAAATTTCTTGTCCTGTCAATGCAGTAGATGAGAACAAAAATGTCTTTACAGACACACCCAAAGCCTTTTTTTCTTGTCCTCAGCATCCAGTTTAGCAGCAGTAAACAAAGTGGTTAACACCTAAATCCTGACAAACTTAATTAAAATTACATTAACCTTAGGTGTTACAAGTGAATAATGAAACCAAGGCTGGATGGACTAGAAAAGCTGGAGTTTGAAAGGGATAAACAAAAAATGGCTGCCTCAAGACTCAACACACATGCAAAAAACCCACTGAGATCTATCATTACTGCTGCAAAAGGATTTCTGAGTGATGGTGAGTCTTAAATCCTTGAGGAAATTATCAATAAAGAATGCATGTGAGAAACTAAAAGCAAAATAAAATGATGCTTTAGGGCTGCTAGTGATACAGTTTAACTTTTTTCATTTGGTATTGCCAGTAGAAATGGCAGTTATCACTTCCTCACTGAAACTGGTCCACTATGTTATAAGCTGCAATGTTGGGTTTTTTCTGAGTAAAGGAATCATAAGGAGACAGTGGCATTAGTGACATTACAGGAAGTATGTAAACATCCATTTGAAGTTGGGTTACATTTTGGGTTTTAGGCATTTTGACCTCAGATGTTGATATGAGACACCAGAGACTTGTCAACACAAGTTAACAAGATCTGAACTAAGAGAAGGTGTAGATTTTAAGTGCACTAGTTTCAGTGTCTTGGTATTTTTATTCAACATCAAAATGGCCTTAACACAATGCTGTTTACATCATTTAGGAAAGGAATTAAACAGACTTGAATGCAAGTCGGGATTAAAAACTATTGTACTGATTTTATTTGCTGAGCACCCACAGGAAGCCATCAGTCTGCATTGGCATGCTTTGGAGTTAGAGTATGCTGTGACACCCTGGTCACACTCTGAACACACACTCAGTTTTGTTGCCACGGGGTTATTTTGCATCCTGAATTTACCTTCTCATTTTACCCAGACAGACCTGGCTGTGTAGGCAAACACACTGCTGATTTTAAAGCAACAACTTATGGCTTCACTGCTTACCTAAATTTATGCTCAAGTAAGCTGAACGGGCAGCATAAAATCTCCCCTATCAATTACTTTTTATGGGTTATACAACATTGTGCAACACTTTCATAATATTCAGATAAGCGTAAGTGGTTTATCAACTGTACTAGCACATAATTTTGGTTTACAGAGAAGGTCAAAAAGAGCATTTCTGAGAAGAAAACATAAACTGCAACCTGCAAAAACAGCAGGCGAGAAAGAGCACTGTGAGAAATAGCAGAGACTAAGACACCCAAACCCCTATCCTATTCCTATTCTCCACATAAAGAAACATGTATACCCATCTTCCTGTCACATCACTGTGCTTTAAGAACACATAGGGAAAGCATTTTCTTGTCATACCTTAGCAGGGGCTCTGCGACTCATATTTAGAGGGTCTGCACTAATTACAGTCATACATGTGCCATTTGGACTCCACAGCCAGTGGTTCTCCTTATCAGCTGTTCCACAGTCTGCCTTCTTTGTGCACCTGACAAAACAGGAATAAAAACCAAAGCAAAGCAGTATTACAAATGGACTCTGCTTTTTCTGAACTATGCAACAATTTTGGGATTAGAGTCTGAAATTATCACATAAGACGACTGGGAATTTGCTTTAATATTGACTATTCAGGTTGCTATTAGAGAATTTTTAATACAGTAAGTGGTTTAATAAAAGTATTGATGGTTTGAGATGCCAATTAATAATTAAGGACATGACCTTGGATTAGACAACCCAAATTCATAAAGAGGCAGCAATATTTGGCACAGGAGCCATCAGGCAATGGAGCCATTGCCTGATCTTCTGAAATCGGGCTGATGAATCTTCACTGTAATATATAACAAAGTTCAGAACGAGTGGGCACAGCCTGTTTTACCTGCAGGTCAAGTGGCAGACAACTATGTGTTGCCAGCAGTAAGACAGCCCACTCATGCTGGGCGCATGCTGGTTCACGGAGAGCTCCTGTCAAACTGGAGCACTATCTATGTTACAACTGTAGTGAGTGTTTTGATTAACTGCTGCTACTATTTAAGACCTCTGTCTGCCAGGTCACAGCTACTACCATTAAGGGAAGGCAACAGTGGTTGTGCAACCTCACAAAAAATACTGGGAGATTTTCCCAGTTCTCAAACAGGAGGAGTGAAAGAAGAGATGCTGTAGTGCAGAAGCTGCATTTGTGGTGACAAAAGCTTGCTGAAGTGTATGAGTGGGGACAGACTCATCCATATTCTTTCCATTCTGTCCAATGTTTAGGTGAAAATGCTATAGGACCTCAGTCTGCTGTAGCAGAAGACCATTAACTTGTCACAGCCTTTAACACAGTGCACTGTTGCACAGTTCTGGTAACCCCACCCTTGAATATATCACACAGATCTTCAGTCATATAACATATGTCAAAACACACAATTATGTGTGTTCATGCAACAAAATTTGGTGCAGATGAGAAAAACATCAGAAATTTAGCACCTTTTTTCCCCCATTGGAAGTAAAATACTAGCAAATGCAAAAAATCATGTTTTCCTTTTCTCAGAGACTATTAATATTTTGAGATATTGAGGTCAGGTGTCGTATCAGAAACCTGAAGGGAAATCTAGGGAAAATTGTCTTTTGTATGATATATGACATGGCCTTCAACTCCCAGCAGCCCACGAGGAGTTCAAGGTGTATATTCCATATCCCCAGGTTTCATCCTCAGCAGCCAATGCCCAGGCTGGATGAGCTACAGTATATTACAGAAACCTGCACATACTGCTTAAGTTTCTTTGCAGTGCTCCATATAATGCTACACATCAGGCTGATAGGTAGCTGAATGTGATAGTTCACATTTTCAGACAGGAAGCTAGAAGCCTGAAATTCATCTGCAGACTATAATTAAATAGCCCCTTTGTTCCAACAGCAAGTACTTAGAATCACAAATTCCCAACCACTCATGCCAAGGGGTTAATTAACTTAGTAGTCAAGAAGAGGGCTGCAGGACTGCTCTTCCCTCTCGCCACTCCAATCAATGAAGAGTGCAAAGAAGAGACATTCCAGAGCTGTGCAGCGCTGTCCTAGTTTACATGTGTTTGAATATTAATTCAGTTAACCTTTGCAGATATTCAGTCAAATGCCACTTTCTGCTCTCCTACAGTTAGGTGAGGGTTCAGTGTAGCTACATGTTTCAATAGATGATGTTTATACAGAAACAGCATTGCTATGCACTTCATCTCAGACGTGAAGACATTTTTTTTATGCTCTTCTTCACACTTTCCTGTTCTATTTAAAATATATGCTATATTTCCTGAATGTTAAACAGGGAGCATTCTTCAAATTTCTGGGAGAATATTTGACTGTACAGCTAAGAGAATGATAAAACATGCAGTCTGAACTGATTTTCAGTACCAGCAGAAAAGTATCTATTTCCCCAAACTAATCAAATCTGAAGAAGTTTTATTTGTGTGCGCAGAAGATTGATATCAATGTCGGCATGATAAAATTAATTCACTATTAGGAACTTATGGTTAAGTTCAAAATCCTGGGATCACTATGCTGAGCAGTAACTCACAGAACATGTCAAAATTTGACCTGTTTCACTGCCTGCACCCAGAGAAGCTGTGCAGCACTCACCTGCCCTCTCTCACACACCAGCCGCAGTACGGGTCCCTCGCCTGGGTGCACTTCTCACAGTCTCCATACTTGTGGCAGTCCTGCACAGGCAGCCGATGCACCTGGAGAGCAAAAAGGATGCCAGACTTAGGGATCTGAAGAAGGCACGAGGAGATGGAAATGTCTGTGGACAGGGCTGTACAGCACCACTGCCTGTGGCAGCAGAATACTTGACCCTGTGTTATTAAGATCAGAGCTCAGCTCAATTTTAAGTAAACCCATACAAAACCAGAGTCTGATTATTTGCCCCTTAACAAAGTCCAAATTCACACACTGCTTTTTTTTTTTTTTTTGCCTTTTTTTTAAACTCAAATATTCTCTAATCTCTCTCCAAAGTAACGTAGGACTTTGTTATAATCCAGAATCACGATGCATTTTACAAGAAATGAATTTATCAGTTCCTCTAGTTATATTACTTCTGGAAATCTGCATTACAGCAGGCATGGCAGGACGAAACTGCATCAACAGCCCTCTTAATTTAAGAAACAGCTACTGCAGGATGGATACTTTCAAAAGGCTAACTTGGGTACAGGCTAGGTAATTTTTTTAACAGAATAACCTCCCCTCCATATCACTAACATGGGGATGAAATAATTTGCAACTGTGGCTGTCAGTGGCACTTTTATCCAGGAGTCATCTCAGGAAGTCTGTAAGCATGAGAGAGCCAGGGCACTTTGGGCTACTGTACTTCTCCACACATAACCCTCCACCATGAAATACATTAATGAAAGAAAATTGAAACAATTATGACAGGAAGCAGCAGGGAAAAGAGCATCTATCAGTTCTCATGTCTCAGTTTCCCAGAAAAATGTATCGTTTCCGGTTTTGGTTTCCTTTGGTGATGAGAATAAACAGTTTTGTCTTTCTTTTGTGCAAGAAAAAGGAGCCAGCACACAACCATCACTTTTAGTTATGCTGCTGAAATGATGCAAGAGGAGAACAGTACATACGTCTTCCTGTCAATGACTATATTCTACTTTTAAACAGTGTAAAAAGTCTAGCAACAGTAACTCTGAGATATAAGCTTTCTTTGTTCTACCTCATCATATTTGAGACAATTGCCAATTTCAAAGCTACTTTGAAAATTTTGCATTGGCTTTTTCTTTCACATTTAGAGAGTTCAGTCTGGCTCACTTAAGGAAAATTCAATATTGGTCAGTTTTCTTGCATTTATTACTGCTAAGGTTTCCCTATTTAGCATTCTCTTCTTTCACAGATTCTTACTTAACTGGAGCTGAGTTACTGGCACTCTGATTCACTAACTGGTACCCATGAGTAATTTAATATCCTGTGAATGGCTTTTTTATTACAAGGTATTTATTTCATAATTCTGGCAGGCAGAAACAAGCCCTAGAGATTGTAATCTCTGCAAATTTTATGTAAACTTAATGGATTTTTTAAAAAGTTGCAGTTCTGTTTACAGCCAGCTTCAAAATGCAGAGAAACTAATTTAAGAGTTTTCTTAATTGGCACTCTTAATCAGAGAATGGTAAAAGCTAAATGAAGCATGTAAACTAGTGATCATGGCAAGTGACTGCCACACCTGTAATAAACCAGTGTGAGCATGTCGGGGTGGCACACTCCTTTCCAAGTCCCCCAAGAAGCTGCAAGGGGTTTCCCTGCTCTCTGTCCAAGCTCTACAAACCAAGCAGGGAGGAGGGGACTGATTTCTAAAGCATTTTCTCCAAGCCACCCACTGCTATTCACACAGCAGCAGAAGCTGAGAGGAAAAAGGGGAGGAGGAATGAAACAGGAAAGCAAGGACTTATTTCTCACTATGGCTTTAAACCTCTGTATTGTTCTTTCCTGTATTTCTTTCAATCTTATTTCTTTCTAAAGGCTGTTTCAAGTTATCACCAACGACATCATCACTTCCACTTTGCTCATGTGCTTATAGAGCCCAAACAATTCCTTTCCTAATGCTGGGGCAGGCTTCATCTGACAGGTAGCTTAGCATTAAGCACATCTAACAGCACAGCTAGCCTGCCTTTTATTGTTTACCTTATTTTAAATAACTCTAAACCATCAGGGTTCTGATATCTCTATTCCCACAATTCCCAGCAGTGCTTAACCGAGAAATTTGGTTTTCAGCATCTGTTCTACTTCCAACACTAACGTCACTTCATTTCTCCCAGCTCCAAAGGCCCCCGATCTCCCCCATTCTCCGCATGCCTATCTGCTGCTAAAAGTGGGTAGGACTGCTCATTGCAATTAACTCCGGGAGATGACATTAATGTAATGCCATTACAGAGCTCCCAACTTTAGTTATTCATATTTAAGCTGAACAGGTTTTGTAAAAGAAAACAATTATTCACATTATTCAGAAACAGGAGTGTCTATGAGAGCTACTTGGAAAAGATTAAACTGAAATCCTTTCTTTGGCAGAAATTTGCCATTTTCTAAATTTAAACATTTTGTAGAGATGGATTTTTTTTTTTTTGCAAATTTTCTCTGAAAAATTTGTCTATGGCCTTCCTAAAAGCTACCAGTTCAAGCAGATTGTCACCAGAAAACCTGTCACCCTTCAAAGTTGCTGCCACTTTTTATGCTGTTCAGCAACTCACACCACAGCTTGGTGGAGACTTCAGGGCTTTTAAGGAAAGTGCCAGCTTGCCAAAGGGGTGCCAGGCTGCCCACGCTTTTGTGGACAACACTGAAGTTTGGAGTTCTGTTCCAAAATCTGAACAGATGCCAAATGAGAAGAATCAGCTACTAAAAAATATAATATAATAATAATATAATAATTAATTAATAATA